TTATTATTTATGTAGGACATATTAATACATCATTTGCTCAGTCATCCAGAGCACAAGCACCACTGCTATTTGCACCACTGCTATTTGGGACGCCCTCTGAATCCAGCTTCTCTCAATTGCACACAGCACAGAGCAGGGCCACCAATACACAGTCCAGAAAGCAGGATTATGTAAGCAACGTGATGAGAAGAAGAGAAGCACAGATCTCTAATATTTTCCTTCATCTATGGAGTGCTAAGGGTAGGATGAGAGTGTAGGGCCAGGAACCCACTATATATACCCATTGGGCATGACAGCCTGTGAAAGAATATTCTAGCTGTGTGAAGTCACATTGTCCATATACAGTACACTTAATAATGTCACAGTTCCTTGTACTTTGATCCGGCGCCGGGTTTTTCCTCCAGTCCAAGCTGCTCGGTTTCCTGTCAGTCCGCCCTGAACCTAGGTGTTAAAAGGCTTGTGCACCTGTGCTTTAGCGTTAGAGCAATGTGTCTCCACGCTAGTAGCCAGACCTCTCTGTTTTCTGTGGCATTGCCGCTTGAGTATACTTTGCGTTTTGTATCTTTGTTTGCTCTTGTTGGTTTCAGTGTTCCCTTCCTGCTGCGCTCTTTCATTCCCTCTGTTTTCTGTCTGTGTATCTCTTTGTTTGCTGTGGCTGTGTGTTCACTCCACAGCATTGCTCCCTGCTCTGTTTGTTGTTGCCTCCTGCTCCTGCTTCCCGTGGTTAGTGTGCTCTGCACTATTGTGCACCTCCCTCCTTTCTCTTGTGCTTTCCCCTCTGCTGTTCCTGTGTATCTCTTGTCTCTGTGGGTACACCTGTGCTGTGTTCCCTTCTGTTCCCTGCTCCCTGCGTCACGCATGTTCCCTGCGTCTTCCTCTAGTGCCTGCTTTCTGTATACAGAAAGTCTTGTCCTGTGTGCTACGGTCCCTGAGTACCCGCTGGCTCTGTGCCTGCACGGGTGTGTCAGAGAGCCGCAACCTGGGAGCTGCCCCGCAGCTCAACATCCACACCCATCAGTGGCTCTGTGGAAGACCAGGTGGCTCCTTAGATCCTGTGACTCTGGCACACCTGCGTTTGTTGTGCGGTCACACTGTCCCTGCATCTTCAGAGACCCATATTCCTGCCCATTCCTAATTCGTGACAATTAATGATGATGGATCCTTATTTTCAGACACAGTGGTGTCGCCTATTAACAGACACAATTAGACAGTGTTATCAAACAAACCATCATGAGAAGTTGCCATCGCTCCAATATGTCATATTATTGTAGCGCTCACCCCCTAAGGAGCCGCTGGTATAGCCCAGGTAATCACTAGTTGTCAAGGGGATTTGGTCTTCAGTTGCCCCATTAGCATTTAACCCCCATCTTCTAGTGCCCACAAAGTTGATATCCACTCCATAATATCTGCTGTATATTAGTCAGATTATATTGTTTGGTGTGGCTTGTAATAGACGTGCATGGCAAAAACATTAGTTTCAGACAAAACAAATGAAAATGAAAAACATTTTTATTTGTTTCCTCAAAGGAAACAAATTTTAATGCTGTTTAAGATTCGGAGGCAATGAATCCAAAACCGCACAAAGAAACTGCAGATCGAGCAGCAGCCGTATCGGCCGCCAGCGTGTTCTGTGCATGCGTGCCGCCATTTTGGAGTATATCTTGGTATACACCAAGATGGCGGAACCTGAACATGTGGCCGCTGCCATCTCGATGTATACCAAGATATCCAAAATGGCAGTGCGCATGCACAGAACACGCTGGAGGTTGATATGGCCACTGCTCGTTTATGCTGACGGGGCTTGTATTTGGGCGGAGCACAAGGGGGCCCCATAATCTTGTATTGCCCGGGGGCCCCATATGTTGTCAGTCCGCCCCTGTTAACATATCAGTAAATAAGCATGATAGCCCCAATGTACACGTGTTCAGTGCCCACACAGGGACGTTTCCATAAGGCAGCCATAACATCAATGTACATTAATTTATATTATTTATAGTACTTTGTGACCATTATGTATGTTTTTTAAAGTCTGATAATATGACTTAGAGTGCTAGTGATAGTGTGCTAGTGACTTATAGTGCTATCTTAATGCTTATTGGATTACGAGTGACTGGTAACAGTTTGTGTATATGTATGTCCACTGTGTTTTAAGCTGTTTGCATGGAGTTCAGCTTTAATACGGAATATTGTATGTTGGCATTCATTCTTTTACTTTCAGCAGTTATCCTAGTAATTATAATGTTATACTTGTATTGTGAACATACAATAATGCAATTATAAAGTTCTAAAGAACAACAAGATTACCGTTTTTTAAAAAGCATTGTGTGTGGATAAACTTTTAATTATGGTCGTCATACATATATACATATATGTATGACATATGGTTGTATTCATCCAATCTATGTGTGAAAACAATACAAACCAATATAATTATTCACAAAAGTCCTCCTCTGACTGTTAATACTCTTCTTAGTAGAGTATTTTATATTTCAGTGCCGGCACACTTCCTGTAACTTTCCGCTGCTTGGAAGAGAATCTGAAGATCGACAAGCGAGTAACCCGCTTTGTTCTTCCTATTGGAGCCACCATTAACATGGATGGCACAGCCCTCTATGAGGCAGTGGCGGCCATTTTTATTGCGCAGATGAATGGGGTGTCCTTAGATGCTGGTCAGATAGCAACAGTCAGGTAAACTGAATTGGTTTGGCAAAAACATAACAAATTGTTAGCATCTTGTACCGTTATATTTAGTGTTGTTTCTTTTTTGCTTTGTAGTCTTACCGCTACGTTAGCAAGTGTGGGGGCAGCCAGTATTCCAAGTGCTGGACTTGTCACTATGCTCCTCATCTTAACAGCTGTGGGCCTTCCAACTCAAGACATTAGTCTGCTCATTGCAGTGGACTGGCTACTGTAAGTAAACTGCTTTTAAATGCTATCTCTGGGAAAATTACATAATATAGTTTTAGCAATTCCTTTTTCATGAGAGTTTTAGCTGAGTAAAATGGAAGTCCCAGAAAAGAAAGGCCAGTTTTTCACCAGCAGAATATGAGCATTAACCCAACAGTGATTATTCTGCAGTGTATGCGCATTAAAGTGACACTAAACTCAGGAGTTAAATCTTAAAATGCATTCAAGTACCTCAAGCATTAACAAAAATGTAAATACAAATTAGTAAACAAATTAGCAAACTAAACGTAAAATTGTAGTCCATCTCGGGAGTGAGCTTGGCAGTGGCTGACTGGCAACTTTTGACCCAGGGGGCAAGAACAACCCAGAGGCCCATGGTGCAGCGACTTGGACCCCCTTTGGCAGCTTAGTGAATAACCCCCTCAGTGATAAAGGAGTACTCTGTATGTCATGAGGGGGTTAAAACAAGGGAGAGAAGGCGTCTTGGCATGCCATTGTGTTTTAACATTGGTTTAGTACTCAGATCAGGTAGGGATTATGGCATGTAGTCATTCTCACTACCTTATCTGTGGCTATTAGTGACAGCTAATCCCAGCATACAGTGGGATCAACTGTCACTCAGGGCCATCAGAAGCCCTGCACAGCAAATTAGAGCTGTCACTAAATGAGGAACAGCATTTAGTAACAGCTCTGTACATGCTGAGATCTTTTTGCTTACAGCAATCACACTCCATTCACTCTCAGGCAACTAGTGCACACCAGGGATGCCCAATGAGGTCAATGGCAGGTGAGGCTGCGCCGGCCTGCCCCTACCCGTCACAGGCTACCCGAGCTATGTATTTATCTGCCCGCAGTGGCTGTGACCGGTGCAACCCTAGTAATTCCACCACTGTAACCCAGCAATACATTATACAGTAATGCAGAATAATACCAACACCTATAAAGGACTACAAATCCTAAACCAGTGTAACATAGAGGTCGGAGGTCAGTATGTAATGCACAGTGCAGAGGTCAGGTGTGTGGCACACAATACAGAGGTCAGGGTATGACACACAGTACAGAGGTCAGCAGTATAACACAGAGTGCAGAGGTCAGGGGTGTGATGCATGCACAGTGCAGCAGTCAGCAGTGTAACACACAGTACAGAGTTCAGGGTGTGAGGCAGAGGTCAGCAATGTAAAACAGATACAGAGGTCAGCAGTGTAAGCACGGTACCTAGGTCAGCAGTGTAATGCACAGTACAGAAGTCAGCAGTGTGATGCACATTGCAGAAGTCAACGATGTGACGCACAGTACAGAGGTCAGTAGAATGACGCACAGTACAGAGGTTAGCGGTGTGACACAGAGTGCAGAGGTCAGTAATAAAGCAGTACAGTGGTCAGTGGTGTAATGCATAGTACATAGATCAGCGGTGTGATGCAGAGTACAGAGGTCAGTATGAACGCACAGTACAGAGGTCAGCAGTGTGACACACAGTACAGAGGTCAGTTGTGTGACGCACACTACAGAGGTCAGTAATAACACAGAGTGCAGTGGTCAGCAGAGTGACACACATTGCAGAGGTCAGTAATAACACAGTGCAGAGGTCAGTGGTGTAACGTACAGTACAGATATCACCGGTGTAAGGCACAGTGCAGAGGTTAGCGGCGTTATACACATTGGAGAGGTCAGCGGTGTGACGCACAGTGCAGAGGTCAGAATTAACACAGTGCAGAGGTCAGCGGTGTGACTCACAGTACATACGTCAGCGGTGTGATTCAGAGTGCAGAGCTCAGTAATAATGCAGAGTACAGTGGTCAGTGGTGTAATGCACAGTACAGAGATCAGTGGTGTGACGCAGAGTACAGAGTTCAGTGGTGTGATGCACAATACAAAGGTCATTGGTGTAACACACAGTACAGAGGTCAACGGTGTGATGCACAGCAGTGTGACACATAGTACAAAGGTCAGTGGTGTAACGCACAGTGCAGAGGTCAGCGTTGTGACGCACAGTACAGAGGTCAGTGGTGTGACGCACATTGCAGAGGTCAGCAGTGTGACGCACAGTACCGAGGTCAGCAGTGTGATGCACAGTACAGAGGTCAGTGGTGTAACTCACAGTGCAGAGGTCAGCGTTGTGACGCACAGTGCAAAGGTCATCCACCAGACTCGTTAATTGATTTCTCAACTCTTTAAAAAAAATGCAACATTGATTCAGCTGTCCTTGTGATAGAATAAGATATAGGCAGTCAGAATTGGACTTTTGTGTGGTATACTGGACCAGGTAAACGGAGTAAATAATACAATCAAATCATTGAAAGTAATTATATTATTTAACAGATTTGTCAATTGATCTCTTTAATCCTAAAGGATCCGCAACATTGATTCAGCTGACTGTTGCAATTTTTTCCACCGATCTAGCGGCAACTAGATATGTTATATTTCTGAACACAAAGGGAAAAACTTATATTGCTCGATGTAAGAAAATAAGCATAAACTTAATAATGAACAGAAGAGAACTGTGTTTGTTTTTCATTTTTTTTTCCTTTTTTGTTCTTTTTTAAATTTTTGGCGTAATCACTGGGAACATATCACAGGACTAGCTTATACTGTTGTATCAAGCAGAAATAATTCCAATGAGATTCCTAGGAGTGATATTGGGGAGTCATGTTGGCCACTAGTCCATTTATGCGAGAATGAGTGAAGTGGAGGGGGGCTGCTCTAGGGTTTTTTATAAGTATGAGGTGATTGACAACGTTGCCAATTTTTAGGACGGTTTTTGTGTTGTGCTCACTTTTTTGTATATAAACTTTGATACTGTCTTTAATAAAGTGAGCCATTAGGCGGAATTAAATATGATTGGTTGATCCATAACTTCTTCCACCACCCTTTTCCCTTTAAAAGGTGGTCATTTTTTGTATATGCCTCTAAGTTATGTACCAATTAAGAGGACATTGTATAGCTATCAATACCACATAGTGGTTGTCTTTTTATAACTATTTAAAAATAGGAATAAACTGCAACTGGACAGACTCAGGGTTTGATCCACAGATGTAGGGACCTCTCCTTTCCACCAGTCCTCTGACTTCTCTTCCCTGTTGGCCCACAACCTCTCAGATTACAGGATCTCTGTAGTGCCTCCTCTCTCAGAACACAAAGGGTATTCAAAATTAGACTTACAGAGCTCCTCCATAGGCATAGTGATGTCTGCCTGACTCACAGAACTTCTGTCACACCACCCACTCCCTGTGGCCCAAGTATCTCCTTAAAACCAGGTAACAGTTTCTCAGGGGCAAGATGGCTCTCTGCTTTTGGCTCCCAGGCTTCAAACATGACTGTGGAAGGCCCTAGTCTGGCTCAGCCTGTGGAAGCAATCATCAGCAGGGTACTTTTTTGGCAGAAGGGTCAATGGCAGTAATGGGGATAACTTATCCACTGTCAAAGTCCGGTCCACCCATAACAACCGTGATGGCAGGAAGCACCCCCATCAGGAAAACCCCACATTATGGGCACCTATGCCAGGGTTATATCTGTAAGAAATAAGTCAAGGCAACTGGACTTGCTGTATTTTTCTTGAAGACGTTTCACTGGACATCCGACCATTTTTCTCAATTCAGAATGACTTGTACAAAAAATTATCTGGGAATAAATATGGTGAATTTCGCTCCAATCCACATAATCTGGCAGACAATAGATGTCTCACCCCCCACCTCTATTCAAGCTTGGCTTCTCCATTTTTACATAAATGGCCTTCTTTACACCTCATTTAAACCAGTCCTCCTCCCTGTCTAGGATGTGACTGTCTTCAAAGGAGTGACCTTTTTCCTTTAGATATAGGTATACTGCTGAATCCTGACCAGAGGGTTTGGCTTTTCTATGCTGTGCCATACGCTGGTGTAGCTGCTGTATTTTTTTTACCGACATTGCCTGGACATCTATTGTCTGCCACATACAATGCTGTTTTCCCACAGAATGTTTTGTATAAGTCATTCTGAATTGAGAAAGCTGGTTGGATGTCCAGTGAAATATCTGCAAGAAAAATACAGCAAGTCCTGTTGCCTTGACTTATTTTTTACAGATATACCATGACCTGCATGAATGAGAACCTTCACAGACATATGCCAGGGTTGTACACATGCAGCCAGTCCATAGCAGTTTCTACAGGGCAACCCAACAACTACTCCTTACCATAAGACCAGACTACCTTAAGGTCGGAATTGGATCCAGCATTTCAGACAAGCAGGCACCAGACGTCTTCCGCAAAGGGCTCTCACTGCATATGCCTGAAGCCTGTTTTTAACCCTTTAGCTGCCAGCAAAAGTGACAAAGGTTGGAAGCTAATAAAAAAAAAAAAAACACAGGTTCTTTCACATGCTGGTAATACCACAAGATGGTAACAGTGTCTAATACTTCTCTAGGTGATCAGTATACAGTCCCCATGGAACATAAATTTCAGTGTTTGCAGACAGTTGCAAGAGATAACTGCAGGACAATCTCCCGAGCCCCCACTGGGCGCCAAAAATGTAGCACCCCCTTACCCACTGGAGTCAGATTAGGGTTCACCAGAGGTCACAAGGGATAACATTTCTATTCAGATGTGGATTCTTGACTTGTAGTTAGCATGTGAATAGATTAGTACCAGTCACTTTTGAACAGTTAATAGAATGTATTCAGGCCAATAAATTCTGGGAAGAGAGGGTTAGGGAACAGGACACACAAAAGAACTGAGACAGACTCTGGACATACAGACACTCCACCTTCTGGGTGAGAAGAGTCACTGGAGTAAGGATGGGTGTGTGAACTATGGATCCATAGTCACATCACTCCTCACTGTTGATGAATGGATTCAGCTTGGCAGTTGCATTATTTTTTGGAATGTTTTGCTTCACACGGATACATCTCATTCCTGTGCTAGAGATGTTCTGTTCTGCATTGTGTAGTAGGATCAGCTCACATTAAGCAATGTCCTTTGCAGAAAGAGGGTTTTGACATACTGTATGTGCCAACCTTGACAGTGAGCATCG